GTAATTGAGGATCACGCGAAATCAAGCCGGAGCGTCTCGATAATCGAGAAAGCAGAATCTCCTAAGGAGGAGGTGGTTGCTCTGCAGAGCACGGAGTTGAACTCACCTCACAGCCTCCACTCACAAAAGGGCGTAGCAGACGAAATGCCCGTTCCAGAGGCCAGCCCTGTGGCGAAGGAAGCGGATAATACCACCCCTAATGATATGAAAGGGCCCCAACAGGCGTTCAAAAAGCTTGATGAGGCGGCCTCAACTTCGAGCTTCACCTCCATTTCTAGCGCCTAAACCCCATCTTGGAGTGAAGTGCGATGTAAACAACGAGGAAGACAAGAAATGAGGAAAAAGAGCTAATCTAGAGAAAAAAACATGGTGAAGAAACCACAGAGATGAGCTCGACAAACAATTTAGAAGAGGATTTATGTGATATTTATTTATTTATTGCTCTCTATCACCTGTCTGTTTAGCGCTCAACAGCGTTTGCAATAAAGCAAAAAAGTGAAATGAATGTGGCTGAAGAATACATGTTTTGTATCGCGCTATTCGCAATGGATGTGATTTTATGTTCTTAGAATGTTTTTTTTTTATTTTGAAAACCTGGTGATCTTTTTTCGCTTTGTTGTATGTGCTTTTTGAGCAAACAGGTCACAAGCTATGTGTTTGAGTCTTTCTCGATACAACTTTCTGTCTTGTTTGGAAGATATTCCTCATGTTACGTAACAATGGGGTTTATTTGGAGCAAATACTCCAATTAGAAATTATTACAATGCGATGCGCATTTTCTTTTTTGTACTATACTTCACTGCAGCTTTGGTTTCCTCTTTCTGGATACCTTTTTCTTCCTTTGAGTCTTTGCCTTCGATCTCGTCGCTATCTGGTCTAGTTGTTGAATTTTTGCATGTTGCTTGATATTACGTCTGTAACCAGGAGGTGGGCGTGTAGTAGGGGTATCCCATATAAAATTAAATATACCTATGACCTTATATATATATATATATATATATATATATAATTAGTA